TATGTCAACGAATGATGAATGACTATTGCAATAAACTTTTCCAGTTGAGATATTATAGATAGTTGTTTTTTCAAAATTTTCTTAAAATAATTCTATGGAAGAATGAGTTAATAAAAAGATAAAAATGATAAATTTATCATTCTCCTATATGAAGTAAAAATAAAAAAATTGATCACAAAATAAGACATTATAGTATAAAAAAGAAAAAGAAGATGAATGATGTCAAAAATGTTACAACGACATACAAGTTTGATACGGAACTAACTAATTCAATTTGTATTGGATCATTACGATATAATGTATAATCAATAATTTTAATGTTAATTTAATTGATTGAAATGTGTATTAAAATAACTAGAGTAAATAAAAATGTCACGTGTCATTAGTTAAAACTTCATTCAAAGTCGATTATTTCGATTGTTTTATAAAAGTTATGCAAAGCAGCAAGCGTACTGACTGATATTCACTCAGACACAAACATGCTTAGATTAAAGCAAAAGAAACAAGGTTTTGTGCATCAATGTGTCTTGTCTTCACCAAGTCCATAGATCTAGTTACAGTTATATCCTGCTATTCCGTGTATCATATAATATAGCGAAGAAGATCTTTACATTTTATTGGTATAAATGAAAGGAAAAAGAATTTGTAAAAAAATGAAAGTCTATGTATTCTGCTAGGAAAACTAAGATTATGTGTTATTTATTCACTGGAATATTTGGAACAAAAAAAGAATGTTCTAAAACTTTTGCTATATTGGACACTCATGCGAATATATTTTTCATTGTATCCTTCATAACTAGTTCCACAATGTTTTACATTTCAATTAGCAAGAACTCATTGGTGAATTTTTCCTTTATAAAAAGCAAACTACTTCTTAATAATATGCCTACAAAATTTGCATCAGTTCCTTACTAATGAGTGCATATCATCTGAATGATGTGATAGCTTAGGTATTTTTGATACTAAAGGTAATGTATAAATCCATAAATGTTTAGATAATCACCAAAAATAATACAAGATATAATTTCAATGATTGGACTGACTAAGCGGGAACCTATCAAGTAGCAGATCAAGCCGACAGCTCTGATTCACATGAAGTTGTTGAATAATTCTTGATTATAGTCGATTACTCTTTCGAAAAACAAATTAGAGGGAAAAACATAGTATATAATTAAGATATTTTTCTTTTTATTTCAAATAGTACAAACAGAAAACAAAAAAGAACAGATTAAATGAAAAATTAATGATTATTATCGTTATTGTCAGAATCATTTTCATATTGATCTCGTTTTCTTTTTCTTTTCAGTGTTTCTTCAATTTTCGTTAAAAGTTCATTATTATGTACTATTAGTATATCACGTAATTTTATTGTTTGTTGATGAAAATCATTTTTATTTGCAATTGTTTCAATAGATACATCGCTACTATTAACAAGTAACTTTAATTGTTCAAGTTGTATATTTGTTAATTGACGACATGAACATATTTCAGCAATACGTTCCTTGATTAACTTAAAGAAAAGAAAACATACAACGAGATATTTTTTTTTCATGTGGAAAACAAACTTTGAATTGATTATTTTCTCGTTGAAGTTGATCAATTTTATCTTGTAATCGTTTAATACCACCAGTTTCTAATTGATGATATTTTTTTTCTAAGTTACGATATTTAGCTTCTGCCTCTTCCCATTTTTTTTTATAACTTATATTCGATTTTTCTTGATTAACATTTGTTGTTGATTGACTAGGAACAGAACTTGAAGTTGTTGTAGATTGTAATTGAGTTACGGTTTCTTTTAATTTTTCAATTTCATCAGTTTGAGCTAAAAGCCGAAAGATTAAGAAAACACAATTTAATTGATATTGTTTACCTTTTTGTTGTTGTTGATAAACACGTGTATCTTCCTGTCGTGATGTTTCACGTTCATCGATTCTGGTTGTATATTTTTTTAAAAGTTCCATTAATAAAGAAGATGAGGAGTCATCTTTATTCGGAGAGTTTTTATCCATAAGAAATTATTTTAATCTTAAGATAAAATTCATTCATTTTATCGATATTAATTAGCTAAAAACTAAATCTATTATAGCTACTATTATCTAGTCGCTTAGTTTAATAAAAATTGGTTACAAGTTTATGGAATATATATTAATGAAAAAACATATAGGAAGCAGACAGTCTACAAAAACAAACCCGTAGTTATAAAACTACAACAAAAAAAAAATCAGAAGATGATATGAGAAAAAAGAATCTGATTATACAACCTGAACGCTCAATAGAAAAAGATCTAGAAGTTTAACGAGACGATCATATTAACGTTAGTTGTTAAAAAAAATTTATGATATCAATTTGTCGTGAAATACTTTTGTTAAATATACAAGTTGGAATATAATTTCGGACGAATTTTCACAATTTTTCCTACTCATTTGTAATCACAATAAGTAAACCATTCATATCACAGTTTTTGTTCGAATTTATATATAAAAGTAAAATTCCACATCAGTGTAAATCATATAAATGTAATGCTTCATATGATTGAACAACAATTGAAGAATATGTTTTACTATTTGTATCATGAATTAAACATATATTACAAGCTATTTTTTAATATTATTTTGTTTATATTCTTGTTCATCAGTTTGATCAATTAAATATAAACCTTGATCACCATCAGCAAATAACCATTGATAAGGATCAATAGGATATAAAATTCCAATCCAATTTTTAAAATCATTTTCTTGTTGAATTGTTTTACCACGACGTATTTTATTCATTGTTAATATATCAAATATATCAATTCTCCAAGAAAAGTTATTTTCTTTTACTGTCATACCAAGATGTTGATTTACTGCTCGAATACAATTAATACCTATATCTAAAGATTCAATTAAACTATCTTTGAACCATGTATTTACCAAAGTTCCACTATTAGTGTTGAATTCCCATTGTTCAATTGAAAAACCAAATAAATAACAAATAAATATGTATTTAGATGTATGTGTTATCGACCAAATTATATTTGAAAATTTATGGACTATTTCAATTTGTCTATTAGACGATAATGAATAAAGTGAATTTGAACTTGATAAAAGAAAACAATTTAGTATCGAATGAAAACATATATCTGATATTGAACTTTCAATAGATGGAGTAATCGGTATAGAAAATATAATGTCAAATTTTGGTAGACTAAATAATATTAATGTTTGATGATGATAAATAAGTAAATGCTTATAATTATCTGTTGCCATTGGACATGATGACATTGATGGAAGAATAAAAGTTGATATTGGTTGACGATTTTCTAACATTGCTATTTCATTAGAAGTCGTTTTTAATGTACTCAAATGAGAAGATAACTCATCAATATCTGTCTCCATTATAATTGTTTTTCTATCTAAAGAAATCAAATCTATGGATTATATCTTATGTTTTCATTTCTTTTTAAAATATTTTTCGTTTTTTTTTATCTATTAATAAATTTCATGAGATTTTTTTTAATTAATTTAACTAATAGCACTTTCTAATAAACAATTTCTTTTCTTAAATAATTTTCATTCCTTTAAATTGTGTTTATTCATCATCATTATAGTGTTTCAATAGATAATAAAGATAAATTCATTTAATAAAGACTGTAAGCATATTCCATCCGATTCTTTCTGTATATCTATCGTTTTCTCGGCGAAGCAAACGTAGTAAAAATATGTACGTTTTTCTTCTGAGTCTAATATCTCAAGAAAAAATCTCGTTTCTACAATCTGAAGGTATTTATATATCATAGTTGACAGCGAGTCAGCGCAGTAAAACAAATAACTATGAATCGAAAAGATATACTCATGTTTGAAACTTCTGACTTTCTCACATTGCCTGCCTTTCTCCCCACATTACATAATATACTGTAACGAATAAACCTTGTATATTATCTACTAATTAGATGGACTTGTAATGCTTTCGAGTATTTTTCTCGATGGCTAATATAATCAGCGTTGTAATTCATCTAGGGTTTTTTTTCAGATTGGTCAGATTTTATTGATTAAGAAAAGAAAAATAAAAGAGGATTTATTTTATTTAGAACTAATTGAAAGTCAATTTCAAAGATACATAGGTGATGCTGCCTATCGAAACTCAATAGTTAGCTGATCCAAATTTTAAATTATTATTCAATATAAGCAAGATGGCTTATATTTTGAAACTAATGGAAAATTCGTAAAATGGATCAAAACATAATTAATCATATCTCATTTGAAAGAGTGATAAAAATACTTCTAATTTCTATAATTATACAATATTAACCGTAACCTATATTGAAGTAACCTTTCATACCGAGCTTTTTTCTCATACAAAGTTAATCTCAAAAAAAAAATTTTCTTATATTTTTTTAACACTCAAATATTGCTCTTTCGATATAGAAAAGGTTTAATTCTCTACGATGTTTCTGAGTGAAAAGTCATGGAATGAGAGTTGGACAATTATTTCTGCATCGAAGCTTAATCAATGTTAAAAAATCTATGAATTCGATTCACATGTATAATTTCATCGGATAAACTTTCATTCTTTTCTTTTTCTATAGATAAAATAAATAAAATACTGGCTGTCTTTTCATTCTTTTTAAGTCAAATCCAATAAACAGAAGAAGAGTTCGATAATATATTTTTCCAAGCAATCAAAACAAACGAACCAGAAATAAAAACATAGCTTTAAAAACAAATGTAATAATAATAAATTAAAATGTTTTTTTTTCCCGTCTCGTTATTATCGAATAAAACAATCAAGAAATAAGAGATTCCAAACACAGTACATTCATACACACACTGCAAAATAATGAAAAAAAAAGAAAAAAAAGAAAAAGAAAAGAGATGTCTGTCGTTTTTTTCTATGCTATTGCTAAAATATTTATTGACAATAAACATTAAGTTGAATACAACATTGAAGAAGAATTTTAACAGCCGGCATATATTGACTTGTTTCAGCTAAATTTTCACTAGCAACTAATTGATTATAAATTGTAAGTGATGTTTGATAATCATATTGACGAATATAACCTATAATTTGATGAATACCTTGTAAAACACTTTGTGGAACCTAAATAAAACAGAAGAAGAAAACAATAATTTTCTTTCCATTGACATATTAAAAGACAAAATTTACTCGATTTTCTCGAAGTTTATCATATAAGACATCAAGTTTCTTTTTTACTTCATCTAATTTTCGTTTTAATGGTAATTGTTGCGTTGCTTGTTGACATCGATTAACAAGTAAATCAAATGTATCTTGTATTATTTGATGTTCACTAGGTAATGGACCTTTAACAACAGGTGCAGGTGGAGGAGGAGTTGGTGCTTTGCGAACTGATGATTCATGTGATGGAGGAACAGAATGATGAACAAAATCAGATGTTGTTGCTGTTGTCGTTGTTGTTGGAGGAAATACAGGCCCTGTTGGAGGAAATACAGATGTTGTTGGTTGATTTGTTATTGTTGGATTGAAATGAAATGATGGTTGAGGAGGTTCATTAACTACTGGAAGAAATGGAGAACTCGTTGGAGTAAAACCATCTGTAGGAGGACCAGAAGGCTAAAAATTTTGATTTCAATAAATATTTAGATAGAATAATCAAGTTAGATTTTACTTTAGCTGGATTTGTTTTTGATGTTTTCATCACAACTGTTGGAGGATCATTCCATGCACCAACTGGTTTAAAATCTTGATAAGATTGAAGTGAAGGAACTACGGGTGGTACGCTTGAAAGATCAGTTGATGGTGGTGGTACTGGAGTTGAATGTCCTAACAATAAAAAAATAAAGAAATAGTTAAGATTTATTCAAAACAAAAAAGAAAATTTTTGTAAAAACCAACCATGAACAAATTGTTGATTAGACATCATTGGTGTTGGTGTATAATGTTGAGGAACAGCAGTAGCAGGATTATAAAGATTTGGTTGATAAGTTGAAACCGCAGGTTGTGTTGGATATGGACTAAAATCAATCAAGTCAAAAATAAAATCTTGCGTTGTTTTTCGTCTTATATTCAAATATTTACTTTGTCATAGGTGTAGTTCCTGGTCTTATATTAAGAGCACCTGTTGGATTTTGTGGTAGCGACCAATTAGTATTCGTTGGTGGTACCAACGGTTGTTCAGGAACAAGCTGAGGTCGAAAATGTTGTGGCATAGTTGTACTTGTTTTTCGTTGTTGTTGCTGCTGTTGCTGTTGTTGTTGTTGTTGTTGTTGTTGTTGTTGTTGTTGAGGTGTAGGAATATCAACTCTTCGAAATGGACTTGGAGGTTTTGGGATACCAGCCAGTTGATTTGCTGGCAAACCATAATAAAGACGATCGCGTAGAACAACAAGTTCAGGCTACATTCAAAAAAAGACAACGAAAAATTTTTTTTCTTAATTTCTACTAAATAAATAAATTTACCGTTTGTAAGTTTCCTAAATATATAAGTGCTGATCTAGCACAACCTTCATTAGCTAATAATTGTCCAAATAAAGCTAAATGTCGACTAATTGATGGTCCATCCATAGATGATGATGTTATAACTGTTTTCTTTTGTTGTTGTTGATGTGCAGTAGAATAATCTGATGAACGTTTAAGAACAAATAATTTTTCAATTAATTGTTCTAATTGCATTGATGACATTCCTTGTTGTTGGTATTTACTTGACCAAGCTATAGAAAATTGTTCCAAATTTCCCGTAAGAATAAAACATATTGATGAATATGTACGATATGAATCATTGGTACCAAGGTGTTGTTTAACTAAATGATGACCAAGTTTATTACATAAATCAAGAAATGTTGAACCAGTTGTATATGTAAGAAGTGCAACAAGTATATCACGCCAATTTGTTATATTACATGATTCAATTAAACGTGACCAATCTTGATTTATAACAATATCAATTAACTAAACAAAAAATAAACATAACAATAATTAATTACTTATTTAAATAAATGAAGTTTGTTTTTTTTATCGAACTTTTGTTGTTGGTGTTTGAACTTTATCAAAATATCGTTTTTGTGTTAAATATAAAAGTTCTTGACCACCAAGATGAGCAAGTAGAAGTGCATCAGTATAACGTTGTTCATGAAAACATAATTCAACAGCAGCTTCAAATTGTCCTAACATAATACATCGACTTAATAATGTTTCTATTTCTAAAATAAAAAAAAAGAACAAAGAAATTGAAATCAATAAAATAATCTGTTTTGTTTTTTTTTGCAAGAAAGTTGAAATTTTTCTTACCAGCATTTGAAACTTTTTTAATTTGATGATCATTAATATGTAAACCATTCATAGCATCAACAGGTGTATCATGTTTAACATCTTTTGTTAATGTTTGAATTTTTTGTAAAATATCATCAGGACGAAAACCTAATAATTCAATATATTTATGTCTTGGATCACTTTCAAATGAAGCACGTAAAAAACGCCATAAAATTTGTTCATCTTGAGATAATAATTTTGAAGATATTTGATGATCACAATAATCAAGTAATGTACCAGCTTGTAACATAGTATCAAATGTTTGAACAGCTTGTACAAATACATGATCAACAACAACTTGTTGAATAATTACAGGCGGACGACGATTATTAGTTGCACTTGGAGATGATGGACCTGATTCTGTTGTTGATGGAGTTGGTGGAGGTTGAACAATAACTAATTTACCACCAAACTAAAATAAAAAAAAAAATATGTGAAACGAATTTTATTTTTTTTGCAAAATCAAATTTTTTACACCAAAGGAAACTCTTGTTTGACGTCGCATCCATTTTGGTGCATATTTAATCGGTAATACATCATGTGTAGTTGTTGATGGAAGTGTTTCTGATGATGTACGACCATCACCAAATGCTTGAGTAAATAATTGATTATTAACTGGACGTGACACTTGACATGAACCACCCATTAATGTATAAATACTTAATGTACCATCAAATGATGAAGCCGATATTAAATTTGGATCAACTAAATTTTAAAAAAAATAATGAATATTTTTTTTCAGCTCTAAAAGAAAAAGATTAATTTTTATACCAAGACACCATTTAACATCGAAACACCAATGATTACATGGAATTTCATAAACAATCTCAGCCATAACACTTAAATCATTTGGATTCCAACATATTATTTTATTATCTTTACCACTTGACATTAATAAATTACTATCATTTGGAGACCATTGTAAGTCTAGAATTCCTCTAGAAAACAAAACAACAAAAAAATTAATTTCATTAGAAAAACTCTTAACACAATCCATGTGGTATTAAAAGGTGAAACACAATACAGTTACTGTAACTAATCACAGAAGATTGTTGTATTCTATCTATCTTGAGACACATTTCTTCACCTTTCTTTTACTTATTCCTCCAAAAATACATGAAGAAGTATTTTATATATATATTCTAACAAGTCGTTATTGATATACGGTCGATAGGAGGAGAGTTTAGGTGCAAATTTCTATCCTATATACGTCAGAACTCCTTTTAGATTGTGTTTGACAAAATAAATAAGCAATAAATAAAATAACCTTGTATGTCCACTAAGTAATTTCATAGGGCTAGCTCCATAACGAAGATCCCATAATTGTATAGCTGCTGATTGATCTTCTTCACTTGCTAAACATAATTGACTTGTTATATCTGGATGCCAAACAAGACGATTTGTACGCATACGATATGTTGAATCACTTATTTTATAAATCGGTTCATTGCTTGATCTTAAATCCCAAATAAGAGTTTTTCCACCAAGAGTTGAACCAAGTATGTGAGATTTTTGTCGATTCCATGCAACACATTGAACTTCTTCATCCATATGATGACTTGTTGACGATGTACCACCAGGTACCATTGGTTCTTTCAGATCATTTAAATCCCAAATCATTAATTCAGAATTTGAACCACCACTTGCAAATAAATTTGATTGAAGAGTATTTATATCAATTGAATAAACGCTTCCAGTATGTTTATCAAGTTGTTGAGTGATTGTTTGAGCCATTGGATCAACTAAATAAATGCGACCTTTTTCTGTAGCACCAATTAATAATTTCGATGATGGCCAAATTAATTTATTAAAACTAATAACAATAAAATTAATATGAAATACAAAAGGAAAAGAAAAACAAACAAACCGATGATCTGTTTTTACTGATCCAATTGGTGCCATTGCCATACTTCTATCAGCTAAATTAACTTGAAATAATTCTAATTGTGAATTTGTACTATAAAAATAATTTTTTTTTTCAATGATTCAACTCTTAAATTAAACTAACCTAAAACTTGCATCAAGTTGTTGTGCAGCTGTACCCGTAACTAAATAGTTTCCATTTGCTTTTTGTTCTTGACTTTTAGCTGGTGACCAAGCAACATGAACAGTTCGATCAATTTCCTTTAATTTCATTTCTATTTTAAATAGAAAATAAAATTCAAAATCTAAAATCAATTTATTACATATATTATTCTCATCTGTTCAAACCAAATCGTATATAAAAAGAATCAATCATGCATATATATATATATAAACACAGAAAAAACAATTTATTATCTGTTTTGTTTTGTTTTTGATTTAAAATAAATTAGTCAAAAATAGCACCACAAAATTGACATCGACGTCGTCGCATTGCTAAACAACAAAGAAGACCAATTGGAAAAAAGAATATCGCACAACAAACACCTAAGCAAGTAAAATCAGTTTCCAACATGCCAACCTAAATATTAAAAAAAATCTATCTTGACAGATAAATCATGATAGACATACTTTACAAGCTGGACAACCGCCAAGAACAATAACTGTAGGTGGTTGAGAACCTAATGCGTATGGATAAGATGAAGCAGTTGTTCTAGTGGGTGCTGCTGTTGCTCCAACATGACCTATAAATGTTCCATATGAATCTGCACCTTCAAATAAATTAATATATTTGACATATTATTTATGAAAAGTAAAATGTTATACCAAGATTAGTTGTATTTTGATATGGAGGAGGCTGCTCATTTTCGTTAATAATCGCTTTCTGTTGCTCAACTAGATTGTATGATGTCATTTTAAATATATCTTAAAATAGGTTTGATTTCTATCTATGGCAAAATTTAGTCAAAATTCAAAAGATACCACGTCGACTGTTCCCATTTATTTTCTGATTGGTTAGTAGAATTCATTAAGAAATTTTTTGTTCCTTCAAACTTTTAATATTTTCTAACTATTTCTCATAACTACAATTACTTATATAATATTTAAAATATAGAACAATTTTTTAAAATTATTTAAATAAGTTTCTTTAAAAAAATGAATTTAAAACAGCTGACTATGACTCATCGATTGGTTCTTATCAGTTGAGAGTACATTATAATCGTTTAGTTATCTTCTTATTTACGTGAAAATTTTTCTACGAACAAAAACAAAAAAATACTATAAACTGTTGCAGTATTAAGTATGGTATCTATTAGTCTTTTTCAGTGTCTTTATCGTATTATAATGGCGTAAGTTAATATTTTCATAGTTTGTCTTTGATCTTTTTTCTGTTTGTTTTGATAAATTAAGATTTACTCGTGCAATTGTATTTTCAATATTTCCGGCTCCAAAAAAATCCATCAATGATGAAATTGTTCTCATAACTGGTTCTGGCGGTGTTTTAGGTCGTGCACTTGCTATTGAATTTTCAAAATATGGTGCATTTCTTTGTTTATGGGATATTGATGAAGTAGAAAATCAAAAAACATATGAATTATTATATACGCAATATAATCATCGTCGAATGGTTGCTATGAAAGTTGATATAACGTGTGTGATTGAGATCTCTTTATTATTATAAATAATTTTTTGTTCTTCTTATGCTACAATAGAGTACCAGAAGAAATTCATCGAGCAGCAGAAAAAATTCGACATGATATTGGAAATGTATCAATTGTTGTACAAAATGCGGGTAGAAATCAATATTGAAAAATATAAATTCTATAATGAGAAACTCAACTTTGATACTGTTTAGCATAGGTGTGGTGACATGTAAAAATGTACTCGATCTTAATACCGAAGATATTAAACGAACATTTAATGTTAATGTTATATCACATTATCATGTAAGAGTTAATTCTAAAATATAATATTCTTTTCATTTTTCTTTAATATAAGATTAATCAAGCGTTTCTACCAGCTATGATTGAAAGACATTATGGTAAAGAATTTATTAAAGAATTAATATAAATAATTATTATCATGTTTATTTAGGACATATTGTAGCTATTGCTAGTAATTGTGCCCTTTTTGGTTTATCACATTTAGGTGATTATTGTGCATCAAAATTTGCAATTATTGGTATCATTAAAAAAAAGAAATAATTTTCTTCATATTATTTAATGTCAATTTTATTTAGGTTATATGGAATGTGTTGAAGATGAAATTTTTCGATCGAAATGTTCAGGAGTTAATACAACGAGTACGTTAAATTATTAATTTTTTTTCTTTTTAAAATATTTTCTATTTGATTTTAGTTGTTATTCTTGGTCCATTGAAAGGTGGTCTCAATAAACGTGTTACAGAAATTGTCATGTAAATTTTATTATTTTTCTTTATAAACACTTTGATTTATTGATCTATTTTTTTTTTTATTAGTCCTGATTCGGTTAATTTTCTTCCTGCAAGTTTTTGTGCAGAAAGAATTGTACAAGGTGTAATAACTAATCAAAAATTTTTATACATTCCAAAATTCTATCGTTTATTGGAATTTGTTAAAAGGTAGAGAAATTTTTAAAAAAATCATTGTTTGTTTGTTTTTTTTGTTACTTCAATATTAATCTTTTGTTATTTAGTTTTCTTCCATACGATGCATTTAAAGCAATTCTTAGTTATGTACTCAATGTACATGATCCAAATTTAAAAAGAAGTCGTTCACGAAAACCTGCTCGATTATGAACTATGAATGAATTTTTTTTGTCTCCTTTTTTTTCGTCTTTTGTCATACATGTGATTGCATCTCTTTTCGTTGCACTTGGATGAGAAAATAAAATGAAACAAAAAAACAACAAAAGTATAGAAATTCTTTTTTTTTAAATTAAATACATCAGAATAACAAAAAAAAAACCGACGTCTATGTTTTGAACGGAAGAACTGTTTAACAATAATAATCAAAAGAAATGAAATGAAATGAAAATAAAAAATTATAAAATATATAAATACGTATATACTTGTGAAAGATTTTGGTTATATTTTTGTTTTCTTCTAACGAACAGTACGCACACCTTCAGTTTGTTGTCGAATAGCTCGATCAATAATTGAACGTATAGGACGTTCCATTAGACCATTTTTAGATATTGTATGAATAAGAATAGCTGTATCAGCTAAATATTCATGTTCTTCAAGCAATTGTCGAGCTGTTTGCCGTTTTTTTGGATTATAAGTTAATATGTCCTATTTGTTTTGTAGTTTATTATGGAAAACCAAACAATAGAAACGAAATATTTTACTTTAAGAAATTGTCGACATTCATTAGACATTGACAAACGAGAAAGTTGAACATCATCAAGAGGAAATCTTGGTAAACATGTTTGATAATAAAGACATTGAGCAATTTCAGGCCATTCTGAAACTGTTGGTGTACCCAGAAGACTAATTCAAGCAAAAAAAAAAACAAACATGAAAAAATTCAAAAAAGGAAATGTTTACCGAAAGATAAGTAATAATTGATCAATTTCACATTCACCACGAAATAATGGTTCTCGAAGTGTCATTTCAGCAAATACACAACCAAAACCCCATATATCTAAAGCCGTACCTAAAAACAATTCCGTCATCTTTTTTTTACTCAATTCACATTTAAAATAAGAAAAAAAGAAAGAAGTTCAATTAACCATAAGTAGGTGCATTAAGCAATACTTCAGGAGGTCGATACCATAATGTCACTACTTCATGAGTTAAAGTCCGTTCAGGCATATGACATTGACGAGCTAAACCAAAATCAGCTAATTTTAAACGACCTACTTAATAAATGAATCATCTTTTTTTACATCTAATTAACAAACTAAATCATAACCTTCATAATCAATTAAAATATTCGGTGGTTTCAAATCTCGGTGAAGCTAGTAAAAGACAAAGCAAAACGAACTATCTACAGACAACACAAAAATAAAACATATTGAATTCTTACAATACGATGACGATGAAGACATTCAATAGCACTTAATAATTGATAACTGTAACTCTACACATAAACAATTAAAAAATTCATTTCGATTAATCATAAATTTTTACTTTAACAAGTCTTGGACTAAGTCGTTCACCAGGTCCAAGTGCATCCATATATCTTTTAAGATCAATTGGAAGAAATTCAAGATATAAACATAAATGATTACAACCACTATTAAATGATGGTTCAAATGCAACATGATTTAATCTAAATCAATAAATAAAAGAATTAAAAAAAGAATGATTATCAATTTCAAATTTACTTAATAATATTTTCATGTTGAATTGATTTAAGAACAGCTATTTCTCTGACAGCTGTCGCTGGTAATTCATTTTCTTCTTCTTGTTTACTTGTTAGTTTCACTGTTTTACGTGCAAGACGTTGACGTGTATTTATATGACGTACACATTCAACAATACCATATGTACCTTAAGAATAAAAATAAAAGATAGAAGATAAACATTAGAAAATAAATGGCAACCTGAACCGAGTGTTGATTCAGCAATCCAATGCGATATAGGTGGTCGAATTAAAGAACTTGAGCTTCGACTGTACTGCATAGTCCAATGATAAATGTTGTTGTTGTTGTTGTTGTTGTTGCTATTCTTATCTGACTTGTTATTGTCGTATTTATCGAATGAACTGATGATGTTAAACGGCCAGTGATAGGTACAGTTGTGATGTAGATAATAGAAAAGAAAAGAATAGAAAGAAGAATAATAGAGAATACACACACTATAATGTTGTCCTATGTTAGTAGAAATACAGTAGACAATGAAAAAAAGAAGATGTTTATGAATTTATATTGCATTTTGATTTACGTCGTTTTCAATATTTTGGAAGAAAAAGGAAAGAATGTTGAGCGATATTTTCATTGTATTATTATACATAAATTAAAAAAATATTCTGCATCAATCCATCGTAGAATTCCAAAAACATTAAATGCTGTAAAGATTCCTATTCTTTAAGAATAATTCAGTATATATTCTCTGCCATTAGTATCGTATAAAAGTTTAGAGGTGTATAAAAACGTAAAAAATATCTGTATATATTTTCACTCTGTTCTGTATTATAATCATGTAACATTGTTCACATTGGAAAATAAATTAAGTTTGAAAGTGGTACCTAGAACAAGTAGATAGTTTGAGCATCGAAAAAGTTCACTACATTAAAAAAAGAAAATAATTCATTGATAAATTGTTACAGAAAACTGAGGTTCTCCGATGCTATTAATTATATGTTCAAAACAACACTTTACTCAATGAATATTTAGAATGAAAATTCGCAGTATACATATATTGAATAAACATGTTTGATTTTTTTTTTCGAAGTAACAAAAACAAGATAATCTCGTTGAAATTTAATCATATATAATTATATATATGTATGTAAAATAGAGTTCGTTATTTCTATTATTACGTTAATGAAATCTGACACGACAATTTATTTACATATTGAGGAGAAAACTCGAAATTTTTCACATGCATTATTAAATTTTTGCAATGAATACATTTTAATTTTGCATCACAGACACGTTTTCTATTGCTTATAAAATTCTCTGCTATAATTGTCAAATGTTGATATTCGATCCGAAGCTTTTTCAGAGAAAATAAATGTGTATTTTTGCCAAGAAATTATCCTACATAATCGGAATCGACGAAAATTGGTGTCAATGTTGAAAAATAAAATTAAATGAAAAAAATTCTTAGCATTGTAGAGAAGTAACGTAGAGAGGACCAGAAAATAACTGACAATACATTCAAAGGCAAGAAACATGAGATGTGAGTATAAATACGGATGCTTAGTGAACTCTTCTAATTTAGCATGAAGCCTTATCCGAAAGTAAGTTGTAGATGTTTTAAAAAGATTTCATAAATCTCTATCGATTTTCTTCATTATTGAGATTTTGTTTGCTGCGACTTTTTTATATTTAATAATGAATATAGTTTCTATTTTTTCATAAGAATTCGATCAATGCAAGGTGTGCATGTCAACATGACATTGCTGTTGGCCGACAAGATCTGCAAATTGAGATTTGTAGTAAGTGAAATAGGAACCATGCTTTTATCAGGCATGCAATCAAATTCTATACATTGCGAATCATTGTCGTAGCTCTCATTTGTCGCTGTAATAAATTGACGTCACTCGATTGTCATTTTTGCTATCTTCAATAGATAGAAGCTAATACAAAAGAACAAATTACACGACGAAATCAAAAACAGCTTTAGGAACGAATGCCAGCAAGAAATATTCAAATTCACTACTAGCCTTCCTTGCACAAAACTTGATTATTTGTATGCGATATGTTCTAAGTATTAAATTAACGAGCATCATGTTTTAAGCTCGTTCTGTATCGTAGCTCTTTTGAGATGAAAAATATGTGAATAGTAACTATATGTAAGATTTTGGCTTATCCAGTGATTTTAAGAGTATTGATATGACTCATTCATACAAGAGAAATAGCAAAAGAATGTATTTTGAAATAGTGATATGGATTATATAATTATATGCTTCTCTTCGACATTTTTCTTTGCTGTTTTTTCTCGACATATTGTTAATTGATACTTTGTTTTGCTGCATTTTCCACCACACTTCAATAACAGTTTAAAATTCAAATTACAAGTTTTAATTAATTACTTAAAAAAAAAAATTTGTGTTGCATTTTAGCAAGAGAAGAGTTTCTATTTAAATTTGCATTGACACGTTACTACGTAGTTTGAGAATTTTTTCTAATTTTGTCTTGGATACAGATTGTGCAATATTCTAGATTCAATTCAAGTAATTAAAACTAAATTAATATAAAAGTATAAGTTTAGACATTAATTACAATTTTAGTCATTTTTCAAACATCATTTGCGAAATTTTGAAGTGATGTTGGTTTTGAACAGTATTCTGAAAAGAACCAATCATGTTTCTGTCACGTATCATCTTCAAATAAATCACGTATATAAAAAATGTATCAGAATGGGTATGGATGTCGGTTTCGATTGTCTCTACATCTTCGTCCACACTCATATTTGAATATACACGGAAAAGATTTTACTGTATGTTTTTCATCTTTCGTGGCTTTGCTGATATTCCACATGTCACGATGTAAGGCACCATTGCCGTCGTTTAAAATTTGTTAGTAACTAAAGCGTAATGGTTTCAATATCTTTTGAGACGCTATGAGTAATCTACTACCTAAATTTAAACAAATTCTTGAACTTTTATGGATGCTTCAGTTACTAGAGTTGCTTAAGTTCCGTGGATTCTATGAGTGAATTTGCACTTTTGACAGTTTCATGAGTTCAGAATTCACGGAATTCGGACACGTCTCATTAAGATTTTGCCAGTTTTTCTTTTAAACTCATTTAGACATTCATTTTGAACAAATATCGACAAGTTTTATTTATTTTTATTTTATATCTAAAAGAATGTTTCTAAAAATTTTCAAATCATATTATAGATCATCTATCATAAAAAGGAATTCATTAAGTTCGAGTGTGGATGTAGCCGTGATTGTGGTCTTGTCTTGATTCACGTCCACACACAACTCCAGATTTGACAGCAACGAGAGATCCGAATTCGGTTTTTTGAAAGTGTAAATCAATACCAAATTTTGTAAAAATCTGCAACAAATGCAGTGAATATTTGCGTTTCTTGAACATTGAGAAACCGAGTAACATAATATCAAAGATATGAGAAGTCATGTTGATTTGAAGATTGACAAGAGCTCGTTTGTGTAAAC